CCCCTTTTGGGCCTGAACAGGGAGGGGGCAGGTGGGAAAGATGTCTGTGCACGGGCCCGGCACTCGGCGGAAAGGCTCCCTCTCTCTCAGTTGGCACAGCTCCACCGTGAGAGTGACCCCTGATGGCCAAGGGCCTTTGGGGCCAGGCAACGGCTCCCTGAGACGGGCAGACAAGGTGGTGGGCTGGAGGCTGCTTCAGGGGGCAGAAGCAGGCAAGGGCTGTTCCCAGCACGGCCGCCAGTGTCCCCAGGTCTGCCTCCTGCAGCCGGTGCAAGGGCGGTCCCTGGCAAAGCCCAGCAGGCAGACTTTGGGACCGCAGGGGAGCTCGCTCGGGTGCTGAGAATCGCGCCGCTGAGGAGCATCCGTGTTCGGCAGAAGAGCCCTCTGCACAGCTGCCCACCCCCCAGTCACTGCTAGCTACTCCGTGGTGGCTGCAAAGGGAATGGCAGGAGGTCCAACCCTGGGGCACGAGATCCACAGCAGCTGGGAAGGAGTTGGGATGGACATCCAGCAACACTAAAACAGTAAAGAAAGAAACAGGATGGGATGAGACAGAAGAACCCACATATGAGATGATGTTATCAAACCAAGTTGGTGGAAATGACAGCTGTCCTCAGCCCACTGGTGCCCGCTGGGCTGCTGCCCCTCCCCACCTGTCCCCTCCTGGGAGGCCGCAAAACGGCAGGCTGAGGCTGAGGCGGGGGAGTTCGGAGGCCGAGCCTGCGGCAGGTGGGACCGCCGGCAGCAGGGCCTCCTCTCTAGCCTGGCTGCGTTCAGGGGGTCCAACCTCAGCTCGCCAGATCACCCCTGGGAGAAGCCGGGGGCCCCGGAGTTACCTTTGCGGATGGCCCCTCACGAGGAGCCGGCCGACCCGGGTCTCCTCGGGAGCCGGCGCTGGACTCGCTAGCTTCAGAGAACCAGCCAGGGAGTTCTCGCAGTGACAAGGGGACTTCTTTGGCAGGACTAGAAAAAACAGCCTGAGAGAAAGAGCACACGTTATGACCGAGTGGCACGAGCAAAACTCAGGCACCCGCAGCCGTGACCTCCGCCGAGCTGCCTCCTCGTCAAAAGGCCCTCCCCAGGACCCGTACCACCACGCAGAACGCCCTCCAGGAGCATCCTCCCCCCGCCCCCCAGCAGAGAGAAGGCCACAGAGCCCAGCTTTCCCGAGACCTGACAACTGTCTCTGCAGGGGCCACGCGCAACAGGGCTTGGACGCTGCCCCGCCAAACCGTCCTCCCGACAGCCTGCCTGGCCAGTCTGGCGTAGGGCACTTCCCAGCTAGACCTAGCAGGACCCCCCCCCGCCCCCGCAAAGCGTCCCAGGAAACTGAGGCAGGAGAGCTGCGCCCAGACAGGGCCAGGATCTGCCGAGCCAGCGGGAAAGTCGCGGGGAGAGGGAGAGGCGGCCGGGCAGGAGAGCCGTGGCGCATCGAGCACGGAGAGGAGAGGAGCGGCAGCGGTGGGCAGGTGGGCTCATCTGAGAGGCGGCAGGTGCGCAACAGCACAGCAGGAGCCCCTGCACTTACGGTCCAAGCGCAGAGTCGGGTGTGGAGGGGGAGCCAGCCAAGGAGTGTCTGTGGAGCAGCGCCAAGGAGAGCCCCTTCCGCGTCCCGCGGTGGAAGGAAGCAGCCCAGGCCACGGCGCTGGAAGCCTGCTGCACCCGGACATCTCTGGAGGGCGAATCGGTCCGGAGTGCCTCCTGCCTGCCGCCCCCTCGAGGCGCAGACGGTCTTTGCATAGACGGGTGATCCGGAGGTTCCGCAGGAAGGGGCAGTGGAGCTGGCAGAGCTCCTGGGATGGAGCCGCTCGCTGAAGAGGAGGGGAGATGGCCGAAAGGACGGTTGGTGCCCGGCCGTGGCCCTGGCCCTAGCCCTGGCCTGGGCTAGGGTGGGATTCTGTCCTGCAGGGGTAGGAGAGAAGCAGGCTCCAGGGGCACAAAGCGGTGTGGGGAGCACAGAGGCGTGCGCGCACTCTCTCGCTCCATATACAAATACTGTCAGAACCATCATATATATTAATATATTAGTGTAGTCTTTTTGGTTAAAGTTTAGGCACTGCTCTGGAAGGAAACTCTGGGTTTAATGTTAAAAAAGAGCAACAGCAGTAGTAATAAAAATAATGGTAGGGTTAGCCAGTAGCCGGATCACATGCAGAGCAAGAGAAAGGAAACGTTATCTCAGGCTTGGGGAGGGAGGGGGAAGGGCCCTTCAGGCCACAGGCAGCTGTTTTCCGGGCAGTTCAAGAGGGGGCCAGTTTCCTTCCCACCCACAGCTCCCCTCTGGGTAGATCAGGGTGCAACTGAGGTCAGCTGCATCCACGCTGCCGCCGCTGCCGCCGCCACCGCCAATACTAGGGCCTGATGTGTATCTACGGCCATAACTTGATGAACTGTAGGAGGAGGAAGAGAAGGAGACGGAGAAGCCGGAACCGGTGGCATCAAAACTTCCTCGCCTGGAACCTGATCTGGAACCTGTTCGTGAACCCGACCGAGAGCCAGAGGTGGAACCAGAACCACTGACATTGTAAGGGCTGTAATATCCTTTGCTGGATTGGGAGGAGGCTTCTAGGAGACGAAGGCCCGTCCCTTCTTCAATCATACTCCTGTCTATGGCATCCTTGTAGGAGATCTTGAGTTTGGTTTTGGGACAGGTCAAGTACTTGGTGTAAGTGTTTACATCCCGAAGCTTCTGTGCAGTTCGTGCATCAATTGTGTTCTTCTGCAAGGCCTCCTCTAGCGAGACCCGTCCAGGCACCTCGGGCTCAATCAGCCCACCTGTCAGGTATTGGACTTCCAGGAACCGCTGGCCAGCTTCATAGTACAGCCAGCCCTTCTTTAAGGCTTGGGCAGCAGACATCTTGGTCTTGGTTCTTGGATCCTCAAAGCCATAGAAAGCCTTCTGAGCAAGGTTGATCCTATCCACCATGATCTTGTCCACCAGGCCCTTATTAACAGCATCTGCAACAGAGAACTTCTCCCCTGAACTTGGATCAATGATCCCACCAGTACAGGCCTGGGCCTCAAGCAGCCTCTGGCCTGTAATGTTATCTACAAGGTTGCGGTGCATGGCTTCTGTAACTGATACTTTTTCCAGGGTATCTGTGTCCAAGATGCCAGCAACTGGACCAGTCTCTTCAGTTGGATCACTCCAAGATGTCAGCTGGGTTCTTGCATGAGCAGGACTTACGGGATAGGAAGAGGAGGAGCCAACAGAGGAAGACCTGGATCGGAATCCACTGACATTGCCAGACAACATGTCTGCAAACTCAGTAATGGACAAGGTCCCTGAGCGATACTGGTCCAGGGCAGACTGGTCTATCAGGCCTTTTGCAAGGGCATCATCTATATCATACTGTCGTCCTGACCTCCGGTCGATGATCATGGACTTGACTACCCCATCAGAGGAGGAAATGGTGATTTCTTCCCATTCACACTCTTGCTCTGAGAGCTCCAAATAGGTCTGGTGGTCAATGAGGCCTTTGCGATAGGCTTCATACACAGACATTTCCTTCCCAGTTTCTGGATCAACAATCACCACCCTGCGTTTCCGAACAGAGGACTTGGAGGAGGTCTTCCTCTCCCGCTTTTTCTCCTTCAATGGCAGGAGGCACAGCCCAGTCTCTGGGTCAGTGATGCACCGTTCCATCAGCTGCAGATAAGTCAGGTTTTCCTCGGTGTTCGGGTCAAAGAACCCCTTGGTGTCATCACTTGGGTCCAGGAGGATTTCATTCATTTCCTCATCAAATAGGCCTCTCTTGTATGCCACTTCAACTGGCAGGCGATGACTCTCCTCTGGATCAATAATGCCTCCTGTAGCAATTTGAGCTTCTAGCAAACGGATCCCATGATCTTTCAGGATCAGTCCTTTCTTCATGGCTTGGAAAAGGGAGATTACCTTGCCTGAGTAGGGGTCCTTGTAACCTGTCACTGCCCGCTCTGCTGAAAGCAACTTATCTTTGAATTCTGGGCCCACGATGCCCATGCGCACCGCTTCCTCCACAGTCAGCTTGAGACTCTTGATGGGGTCAATTACATAACCAGTGGCTGCCTGGGCTTCCAGCAGCTCAAAAGCTGTCCCTGGGCGGAGAATGCCTTTCTTCATGGCTTGATATACAGACAACCTCTCCTTGGTTGAGTCCATGTAGACTCCAGCAATACAGCTGGTGCCCTCTAAGAATTGCTGCAACTTCTTAGAGACCTCCTCCACTGAAGTTAAGCCTTCCTGGAGTCGCTGGGCAGTGGCTTCATCCATGACCTTTGACCGTACCAACTCCTCAACTGTGATTTGCTTCCTCAGGCCCCTGAAGGTCAGCTTCCGAGTGTCACAGAGGGGTAGCAGGAGACAGCCTGTATTCTCATCCTTCTTACATCGCTTGAGGATTTGAGTATAGCTGAGCTTCTCATCTGTGGAAGGGTCTATATAGCTGCGGATCTCACTGGGCTCAGAAAGTCTGTCATAAGTCTCCCGATTGAAGTAGCCACGCTGGTAGGCAATTTCTAAGGGCAAGTGAAAGCCCAGGTATGGGTCTATAATTCCTCCTGTGGCCAACTGGGCATCTAGCAATCTGAGGGCTTCTTCAGAAGGGATGAGATCCTTTTTCATGGCCTGAAAAAGAGAGATTTTCTGCTCGCTGTAAGGATCTCGGTAGCCTGTCACAGCTCTCTCAGCAGACAGAAGTCGATCATGCATTTCTGGACCCACTATCCCTTTCCTGACTGCCTCATCTACAGTTAGCATTTCATTCTTCATAGGATCAATAATGAAGCCAGTGGCAGCCTGGGCTTCCAGCAAGGATCGGGCAACTTCAGGACTGATCAGTCCCTTTTTAAGGGTCTGGTAGATGCTGAGCTTCTGCTTGCTGGATGGAACGTAGATGCCAGCAATACAGCCAGTCCCATAGAGATATTTCCAGACGGTCTCTATCTCCAGAATCTCTCGGATGGTCTTGGAGCCCTGCTTCAGTGCATTGTATATCTCCAGAGAGATTATCCTGGCCTCATAGAGGTCTTCAGCAGTGATGCGGCGCCTAATGTAATCGTAGGAGGTGAGGTCTTGCTGGCGGATGATTTCTGTTTTCTCTATAATCTCGATGATGATGATGATCATGCGTTCCTTTGTCATGTGACCTAAGCGGAACTCTTCCATCAATTTTTTACGCTGCTCTTCAGGGAGGAGATCAGAATTCATAATGTCCCAGAGGGACATGGAGGAGCCAGCAAGTTCTCCTGCTGGAATGTCAATTTGGGTTTCTTCAAACATCTTCTTGGTTTCTGCCTCAGTGTACACTTGGGTTGTCTCCACCACTGTTGGTCTTTCAGGCTGTTTCAAAGGCAGGAGATAAAGGCCAGTCTCAGGGTCCTCAATACACCTCTTTTTCAGCTGCAAGTAGGTAAGATTCTCCTTGGTGTTGGGGTCAATGAAGCCCCGGGTATCATCCGAGGGATCTGAGAGGGTTCGGTTGATCTCTTCATCAAAGTAGCCTCGCTTGTATGCCACTTCCACAGGAACACGATGACTGTGCACAGGGTCTATAATGCCCCCTGTGGCAATCTGGGCCTCCAGCAGGCGGATGGCATGGTCCCTGAGAATAAGCCCCTTTTTCATAGCCTCAAAGAGGGAGATGGTATTCCCAGAATAAGGGTCTCTATAGCCAGTAACAGCCTTCTCTGCAGAGAGCAGTTTCTCGTGCAGCTCTGGTCCCACAAGGCCAGCTTTCACTGCCTCGTTGACATGCAGCTTCTGGTTCCTTACTGGGTCCACCATAAACCCGGTGGCCGCCTGTGCCTCCAGAAGGACAGTTGCTGTGCTGGGCAGGAGCAGGTTCTTCCTCAGTGCCTCATAGATGTTCAGCTTCTCCTTGGTTTCTTCAACATAGATGCCAGCAATGCAGTCACTCCCTTTCAGGTACCTCTTCACAGCACCCACTTCGGCGATGTCTTTCACCGCCTTCTTCCCTTCCTTGAGTTGTTCATACTGTTGTGTGCTAATGATCTTGGACTCAAGCAGTTCACTAGCAGGCACTGGGGCACGCAAGCCACTGAATGTCAATTTTTCTTGCTTCTTGGCCTCGCTCTCTTCGATAATTGTGATTATTATCTTAATGACCCTCTCAATGGTTACTTTGCCAGTCTTGTACTGTCGCATCAACTCTCTCCTCTGCTCTTCAGTTAGATACTCTGAGTGGATCAGCTCCCAGACTGTTACCGTCTTGCCCTTTAGGCTGCCGGCTGGAACGTCAATTGTTGCCTTATCAAAGGAGTCTTTGACTGCACTATCTGAGTAGAGCTCCTCCTGATGAAGCCGTATGGCCTCATCTGAGAGGCAGAGCAGGTGGAGGCCTGTCAGCTTATCTATTTGGCACCTCTTCAGCAGCTGAGAATATGTGAGGTTTTCTTGGGCATTAGGATCATAGTACAGCCTGACATCATCAGCTGGATCAGAGAAGGCCTTGTTCATTTCCTCGCTGAAGTAGCCCTGTTTGCAAGCAACATCAAGCGGGAGACGATGGCTGTGCACAGGGTCAATTATGCCTCCGGTGGCAAGCTGAGCATCCAGCAGTCGGAGCCCAGTATCCTTAGGAATGAGATCTTTTTTCAGTGCTTGGAAAACAGAGACCACCTTCCCCGTGTACGGATCCTTATAACCAGTTACAGCCCTCTCTGCAGATAACAGCTTCTCATGAAGCTCAGGCCCCACCATTCCTGCTCGGACTGCTTCGTCCACAGGAAGCTTCTCGTTCCTCACTGGGTCAATGACATACCCAGTTCCAGCCTGGGCCTCCAGAAGTATGAGGGCTGTCTCAGGTTTCAACAGGTTTCTTTTTATTGCATCTGTGAGAAGTAACTTTTGGCCAGTTGACTCTATCAAGATGCCCGCAATGGTGCCAGTACCCTTCAGGTACCTTTTTATGGCATCAATACTGGCCACCTCCTTCACTGTCTTCTTCCCTTGGTGCAGCTGACTGTAGAGTTCTTTGTCCAGGATTTTGCTCTCCAGCAACTCAGCTGCCGGCACTGGAGCCCGAAGGCCTTCAAAACAGAGTTGGCTCTTCTTCTCACTCTCCTCAACAACTGTAATTATGATCTTAATTATTTTCTCCACGGTGATCTTTCCAGTCTTGTACTGACGCAGGAGCTCCCGCTTCTGCTCCTCAGTAAAATACTCAGAGTTGATGATTTCCCAGATGGTAACTGTCTTTCCCTGAAATCTGCCAAAGGGGGCTGACACCGTGGCTTTCTTGAGCACATCCTTGGCCTCTTGATCGGTGTAGACCATTTCCTGTCCTCTGGCTGCTTTGTCTGTCAGCGACAGGAAGATGAGCCCAGTCTCAGGGTCAGTCACACATCTTTCCATGAGCTGCAGGTAAGTCAGGTTCTCTTGGGTATTGGGGTCAAAGAAGCCCTTGGTGTCATCAGTGGGGTCAGAGAGGACCCGTTGCATCTCCTTATCAAAGTAGCCTCGTTTGTACGCGATGTCCACGGGTAGGCGGTGGCTGTTGACAGGGTCAATGATGCCTCCAGTGGCAATCTGGGCCTCCAGAAGCCGAATGCCATGGTCTTTAATGATGAGATCTTTGGTCATTGCCTGGAACAGGGAGATCTTTTCACCTGTGTAGGGGTCCTTATATCCAGTCACTGCCCTCTCTGCAGACAACAACTTATTGTGCAGTTCAGGCCCAACCACTCCTTCTTTCACAGCCTCACTGACAGAGATACTCTTGTTCCTCACGGGGTCTATAATGAAGCCAGAGGCAGCCTGTGCTTCCAGCAGGATGAGTGCTGTGCCTGGGCTGAGGATCTGCTGCTTCATGGCCTCATAGATGCTCATCTTCTCATTGGTGGGCTTCATCAGGAGCCCCGCTATGCTGCCTGTGCCTTGCAGGTATTTCCTGATGTCCTCTTCCTGGGACAGCTCCTGTACGGACACTCTCCCGTGCACCAGATTCTCCCAGTTTTCTTGGCTCAGGATGCCAGCCTCTGCCAGCTTTTTGGCAGACACCTTCTGTCGAATACCATCAAACGCCAACTCTGGTTCACCATTTTGAGAGACACCGTCGAGCATATCTTGGCCGTTCGGCACACGTTTTCCTGGGGACACTTGTACAGCTGCCTCTTGAGGAAGGTCATCAGTCTGGATCATGATTTCTCGGGTCTGAGCAAGAGCAGCCTGGTGTTCCTCTTGCAGCTGCTTCAGTTTCTCCCGGAGCTTTTGGTTTTCCTCAGCCAGAAGCTTCTCCTGCTGCTGACGTTGCCTCTCCAACTGCTGGAGCTCCTCTTGCTTTTGACAGACACTCTTCTCTGCTTCTGCCTGCTTCTCCCTGGCAACCTTCAGGGTGGCTTCCAGCTGTTCCTTCTCCTGCTCCATCTGCTTCTGCTGACGTTCCTGCTCAGCCTTCAGGCTGTGAGCTTTCTTAACCTCTTCCTGGAAGAGGTTCTCCAGCTTGGCCTTCTCCTCCTCAACAAATCTCTCCTTCTGCAGCAGGGCATCCTTCTCCGACAGGAATGTTTGCTGGAGCATCTGTGTCTCCTGGCGTAACTGCTCCTTCTGAGCAGTCTGCATCTGGGTTGGGAAGAAAACAAAGAGCATCAACCAAATGGTACCCCCCCCCCCAAAAAAGAGAAAATGCTGAAGGGGAATTGACAGAGATACTACAGGTCATATTAAAAGGCAGTTGTCAGTGGCTACGTGCTCAACAGTCATCCTCTCTGGCCAACACAGAAGGGAAGAAGTCATCAGACAGTAACTACATGCCACACGTAAGTCAAGGAAGCAGAAGATAGGGAAGCAGGGGCATTTTCATCTCATTTTATGAAACGCTGCCCAATTCCTTCTGAACAGGCCTCGGCCTCAGAGGGACTGTCTATGGACTGACCACGAAAGGAGCCTTCCCAGAGAAGAAACCAGATGAGAATGGGTTGTGTGATTTCTTCCCAAACCCACTGCCAACTCATGGAAGAGTCCCTTCAGTTTGAAGGCTCTGAGCAAGCAATCCATCTCTGTCTTTGCACAACCCTTACTTGGCTAGCTGCTGCCCCACACGTGGGTGCATTCTGCACTTGAGAGCGAGCACAGCGGTGGAGCGAACTCTGCCACTTTTGCCCAGGGGCGAGGGACCGCTTGTGCAGAAGGTCTTTAGAAGTCCTCCCCCAGCCCCTCCTGAGGGGCCCCACGGGGGCATCCCCAGACCGGCCTCAGGAGGGCAACGCTGTTGATGGTGCAACACTCCACCCCGCCAGCTGTCTTCACGCCCTTTCTCTTCACAGTTGCCATTTGCAGTTCTGTCAAAATTCAGACGGACTTTGACAGAAACAGTAAGAAGCAGTTGTTTGAATCGGGAGACTCCAGAGTAGCATCTGTCGTTTGCACTCTTGGTTCAGCAGTACACCGCTCATGCTCCTAATGTTTTCCTTTGCTTCCTTGATGCAAAGAGGATTCCCTGCTGAAATGAGGAGCAGTCTGGGCCACGGGAGAATACCCTAGCCAGCCATTTCCCAAAGTATGACTTACCACGACGGTCTTCTGATAGGCAGAGGGAAACCTGGTCACCAGTACTGACCTGCAAGCAGCAGGGAACCTCTTCTGCACCCCACCAGGGAAGCAAGAACACCTCCTGCTCCTGCTCCTCTTCAGGCTGATGGGAGAGAACGGCGGGTGCTCCCCCTGAACACGCAGCCTGGACCCCGCGGTAGGGTAGGCCCTTGCGGCAGGGAGCGTGGTCCACTGCGTCTGCACTGTTAGCTTATCCACCCCGTGGAGTGGCACCTCTCCCTCCTGCCTGGGGCCACCTCAGCTGTGGACTAACTGAGGGCACCCGGGGTGGGGCTGATGGGCATTTCTCAACCTCAGGGGGGTAGGGAACCACAATCAGGGCAGGTACCTCTTCTGACTTCTGCTGCAGTAGCTTGGCTTCCTGCTTCAGCTTCTCCTTCTCCACCTCCAGCTCGGCAATAGCCTTCCGCAGTTTGTCAGCATCCTGGTCGCTTTGCTGCCTCTGGATCTCCAGGGTCTGCACCAGGGTCATCTTCTCCTGAGTAGATAGCTCCATCTGGTGCAGCTTGCTGCTGATCTCTTCGGCCTGCTTCTTGAACCGCTTGGCCTCTTCTTCCGCCTTTGCCTGGGCTAGGCTCAGTTCTGTTACCTGCAGCTTCAGCCGCTCAGCATCGGCAGTGATTTCCAGCTGCCGCTTACGTTCTGCCTCCAGGGTTTTCTGGAAGCCCTCCGTCTCCTCCTCCAGCCGCAGCTGTATCTGCTCCTTGTCCTCCTGCAGCTTCCTGGCCCGCTCCTGAGCCAGGTCCTTCTGCTTCTGCAGCATCTCGGCCTCGGCCTTCAGCTGCGTGGCTTCCTGGATCGCCTGCATCTTCTCCTTCAATATCCTTTCTGCCAGCGCCCGCTGCTGAGCCAGATCCTCCTCTGCCAGTTTGCGCATGCGGGCAGCCTCCTGGGCTTCCACACTCAGTCGGGCAGCTTCCTCTGCCACTTGCTTCATTTTTTCGGCTTCCTCGGTTAGGATCTTCTGCATGTTGTCCTTGTCCTTCATGATGAGCATCTTGTTCTCCTCCTCAATACGGGTTTTCAACTTGATCAGCTCCTCCATCTGGATCTTCACTTTGAATAACTCCTCCTCGACTTGGGTCTTCTGCTTCATGGCTTCGGTCACCTCTTCTTTCAGCCGCTGCTGCTCCTCCTCCAAGATGTTCTTCTGATGGTCTGTTTCCTCCAGCCGCAACTTGACTTTGGTCAGCTCCTGTTCCACCTGGGCTTTTTGCCTCAGTGTCTGCTCCGCAAACTTTTTGTGCTTCTCCATCTCCATGTCGGCCAGCTGCTTCTGCTTGAGGGCTGCCTGTTCTGCCTGGGCTCGCTTGGCCGCTTCCAGCTCTGCCTCCTTCCGGAGCTTCTCGGCATCCTCTTGCGCCCTGGCTTTGACCTGGGCCTCCTCCTCTGCCCTCTGCTTCATGCGCTCGGCTTCTTCCACCAGCTGCCGGGACAAGGTGGCGTCTTGCTCCGCCTTGAGGCGGGCAAAGTCTGCTTCCTCAGCAGCTTTCTTGGCTCTCTCAGCCTCCTCCTTCAGCCTGTCCAAGATGCACTGCTCCTGCTGCCTGGTCTGCAGCAGTTCCTGCTCCTTCTGCTGCGCCGTGGCCAGGTGAGCGGCCTCTTCAGCGGCAATCCTCTTCTGGGCTGCCTCCTGGGCCAGAAGGATCTGCTTCTCCGACTCGTTCTCGGCCAGCTCTTTCTGCCTCTTGGCCTCCTCCACCTTCGCCTTCAAGCGCTCCACCTCCTCCAGAGCAGCTTTGCGCTGCCTGGCGGCTTCCTGCTCGGCAGCCAGGATCTTCTTGAGCTTTGCTTCAGCCTCTTTGCGGCGGCTTTCCTCCTCCAGGGCCACCTGCCGCAGCTTCTCGCCCTCGAGCTCGGCTTGCTCCTTGCTACGCTGGATCTCCTCCGCGCTCTGCCTAATCTTGCTGAGTTCCAGCTCCAGGTCTGCCTTTCCCACAGATGCTTTCTCAAAGTTGATCTTGAGGATGCGGATTTCCTCCTCAATGATGCGCCGCTGCTTCAGTGTTTCATTGACAATGGTCTTCTGCCTCTCCAGCTCATTCTCGGAAGACTTCTTCAGCTGCGCAATCTTCTCCTCGATGTCGTGTTTGTGCTGGGACGCCTGCTCCTCCAGCATCCTCCGCTGGTAAGCCTCGTCCTCTGCCAGCCGCCTCAGCCGCTCATTCTCAGCCTCCTTCTCCTTCAGGGAAATTTCCGCTTCCGCATTGAGGCGCGACGCTTCGTTGATGGCCGCCAGTTTCTCCTTGAGGATCCGCTCGGCCTCCGCTCGCTGCCGGGCAGCCTCCTCCTCGGCCAGCTGCCGCTGCCGCTTGGCCTCCTCAGAGAGGGCGCGCAGGCGACCTGCCTCTTCTGCCAGTTCCCGCAGCTTGGCGGCCTCGTCCTCCAAGATTTGCTTGGACTTCTCGCTGGCGGAGCGGGACTCCTCCTCGGTCCTGGCCTTGCTTTGCAGCAAGAGCTCCATCTCGGCCCGCAGCTTGGCCAGCTCCTCCTCCAGCTCCCTCCGCTTCTGGATGGCCTCGCTGACTTCGCTCTTGAGGCGGAAGAGCTCTTCCTCCAGCAGCAGGCGCTGTTGCTCCCCATTCTCCATCTCAGCCTTCAGGCGAATCAGCTCCTGCTCAGCCAGGAACTTCTGCTGGGCCGTGCCCTCCGCGAGCTTCCGCTGCTTTTCCAACTCCTCCTCGGCCAGGTCCTTCTGGCGCAGGGCTGACTCCTCCGCCTTGCTCCGCTTCCTGGCCTCGCGCTCGGCATCCTCCTTCTGCTTCTCTGCTTCCTCCTGGGCCAGGGCCTTCTTGTGGGCCACCTCCTCCGCCTGCAGCCGGAGCCGGAGCGCCTCGTTCGCCTTCTGCTGCCACTTCTCCAGCTCCTTCTCGGCCTCCTCCTTGACCTGCTCAGCCTCCAGCTGCTGCTTCCTCAGGCGTTCGGCCTCCTCCTGAAGGTGGGTGATGGTGACGTGCTCTTGCTTCAGGGACATCTCCAGCTGGGCGGTCTTCTCAGCGAAGGAGAGGCGCCGGCTCTGCAGGTCTGCCTCGGCACTCTTCTGGGCCATCTCCCGAGCAACCTGGATCTGCCGCTCCTTCTCCAGCTCCGCCTGCTTCATTCGGCGCTCGGCTTCCTCCGCCTGGGCGCGGAGCTTCCGCAGGTCCTCCAGGGCTTTCTGCTTCTCTCGCGCCGCTTGTTGCTCCGCCTGCACCTTCTCCTTCAGCTCCTCCTCTGCCTCGCGTTTCTTCTGGGTCTCCTCCTTGACCTGCCTGCGCAGGCGCTCGGCCTCCTCCTGGGCGGCTTTCTTCTGCCGCTCCGCTTCTTCTGCCCGGGCCCTCAGGGCCTGGAGCTCACCTTCCGCCCCGGCCTTCTGCTTCTCGGTGGCCTCCAGTTGGAGGCGGATGACGTGGATCTCCTCTTCCACTTTCCTGCGGCTCAGCTCCACCTCCTCTATCAGCTGCTGCTTAGACAGGATCTGCCTGTCGGAGCTGAGCTTCATCTGTGACAGCTCCTGCTGGATGTTCTGCTTCTGCTGCTCAGCATCCATGGCCGCCAGCTGCCGCCGGCTGACCTCCTCCTGCATGCGCTGCTGCAGCTCCTGGGCCTCCTGCTCAGCCTGAGCCTTAGCCTTGGCGTGGGCCTCGGCCAACTGCTTCTGCTTCTGCAGCTGGGCCTCCACCTCCGCCAAGCGCTTCCGCTCCTCCTCCTTCAGTTTCTCGGCGGCTTTCTATGGGGAGGGGGCAAAGAGAAGGGGAGGGGGAGAGAAAGAAAGATCACAAGAGCAGATGGGGGGGCGAGGCTTCGGGAAGGTGTGTGGTGACCGGAGGAGGGGGCGAGTGACTCTCACGTAGGGCAGCAGGCAAGGAAGCAGGAAGACCCACATACTGAGAAAAGAGGACGGATGGACGGACGCCAGAGACAAGCAGGACCCAAGACAAAAGAGCTACAGGAGCACACCGCCACCATGCGCAATGCACTGCCACCGCGCAGCAGAACGCCCAGCAGACGAGGAGCCCGTAGGCTTTGGGGTCCAGGGAGATCCAACCTAAGGGGACGTGAAGGGTGGGAAGAAACCGCAGCCGCACAGCAAGGGAGACAGTGGGGACGGCGCCCCTCTCCCACCGTCCTCCGAGCCCCTCCTGTGAGCCCTGGGGGAAGTCAGGAGGGAGGCAGGTGACCATTCACGCATACACACAGGCCAGGCAGAAGGAAGCAACGCACCAAGGGGCAGGAAACCTTGCAAGCGTCTGCACGGCGGGCAGATCCACAGGCCCAGCGGGACAGAGGTGCCTCCCTGCTCCAAACGCCTCTGCTGTGCCTCATCCTGTCCTTCCCACTCGGCCCACCAGAAACCCCCGTCAGTCCCACGCCCCCTCCCTCAGTTGTGTGGACAGGGCAGGGCTATCGGGAGGACAGCGTAAGGGTGGGAGCACGTGCAGAGCGAAGGAGTACCTGGTACACAAACTCCCGCCGCATCCTCTGGATGTTAACCCTCCGTTAGAGCCCCACCAACACACACCTGCCCCGACCAAGCCCAGGCAAAGCAGCTTGACTTCCAAAGGGCAGAAACCAAAAGTTAAAAACGGGAGGAGTCCAGAGCAAATCCCAGGAAAAGAGGGCAGGAAGGAGAGCCCCGGAAGCGGACCCAGGCAAAGGAGCAGTGGGCGTAGCAGCCCATCGGGGAAGTGCAGCTTCTTCCTGCAGGGCGATGCCCATGCTGCGGGGCTCCACGCAGGGCCAGGGACTGCCCAGGCGAGGGCCAGAGAAGCGCAACGGCCCACTGGGAGGGAGCAGCACCCCAACCATCCCGATGCAGCCGAGCCATGCTGGGCGCCCCTTACCTCCTCTTCCTCCAGCCGCCGAAGAGTCTCTGTAATGAACCTGATGTACTGGCTGGTCAGTGTGGTCAGCTCACTGTATCGAGTCCGCAGGTCAACGTACTGCAAGGTCAAAGGGGATGGGGGCCTCAGGTCAGCCCTGATGGCCTCTTCCTCCCAAGCGAAGGTGCCAAGGCTCCTCGGGCAAAGGAAGAGGCCCCAGGCCGGGATGCCCGGCGTGAGGGCAGGAGCTCGAGAGCGCCCTCTCTGGGCAGCACGCGGCTCTCAAGGGAAGCTGCTGCTGCTGCCCCAGAAACAAGACCCCCAGTTTTGACCAAGAACCCCTGGCGACCCCCTCTTTCCCGGGAATGACCCCCAGCACCCAGTCAGGAACCTCTTCCTTCCCACCCAGCTGGGACGGCAGCTGAATGCTTCTGTTCTAGAGCCTCCATCCCACAAGCCCACCGACCCTCTGCGGGTTTGTCCAGCCCCCTCACCTCCTGAATGATGCTGTCCGAGGCGGACTGGACTTTAGGCTTCTTGACGGGAGAAGCGACGGGCTCCACTTGGGCTTTGTAGGTGACCAGCTGCAGTTCATAATCCTTGAATGGAAAGAGGGGTTGGCTTGGAGGCTCGAGTCCAGCCCGCTGAGCCCGGCCGGCAGAGCCCAACCCACCCACTCACCTTGATGGCATCGATGTACTGCTTGGCCAGGTGGTGGCACTCCTCCACCTTCTCCCAGTTCTGCTCACATTCTCCCAGAAGTTTCTGCAGGAACAAGAGGCCAAAGAAATGAGCGGGCCGCCCTCCCCAAGGCTAGTGGCGCAGGGAGGGCCCGTGGCTCAAAAAGAAGGGAAATTCAGAGGGAAATTCTGCCCAGAGGCGCCTCAGAGGATCCCTGTGGCAGCCCCAGCTCAGCACAGCCCCCCTCCCCACAGCAGCCCACAAAGCAGCTCAGGTGGCTGAGGATGGGGCCCCTCGCTGCCCAGGGCCCCTCAGAGAAGCTTCACGCTCTTGGCCCGAGGAAGGAGCAGGGGCTGCGGGCCTCAGAAAGCTCCGCCAAGCTCCAAGGGAGCCCCCAAGCCGGACCCTTGGGAAAATCCCTCCCTTCCCCTTCTCAGACTGGCAAATAAAACCCTATCATATTTAATAATTGTATTTTATGCTATAGTATTTATGTTTTTATTGGTTTTAAATTGTTTGGTTGTGAACCGTCCAAAGTCCCTCCTTGTGGGGGAGTTGGGCAGTGATATAAATTTGATTTATAAATGATTTATAAAAAATAAAACAGCCTGAATTTTCCAGTTATATGCAGTTAGTAAAGCCTCTTTGTTGGTTGAATTAACCTACCCTTCCCTTTGCAAATGTAGAGTCAGAGTCAGAGCCAGGCCTGGCCTCATCGAAAGCCAGGTCTACCTCTCGGGACGCTGGCCCCACACCTCTCCCACCCTGGAGGCCTCCGCTCGGCCTGGCTAGCCCGGGTCCCGCTGCTGGGCTTCCCTGGGGCCTCTGCGCCAGCCAGGTCCAGCATCCACTTGGCCAGGCCTCACCTTCTCTTGCAGCAGCTGCTCGCGCACCCTCTGGCTGGTGGTGATGGGCACGGCCTGGAGGCTCTCCTGGCGCTGCCGGGCATCCTGAATCCACTCCATCAGCCAGACATAGCTGTCGCGGTAATAGCGCAGCTGGCGCCCCAGCTGGTCTAATTCCCGCTGCCGCAGGTCGATCTGGGCCAGGACAGCCTGCCAGCGGTCAAGGAGCTGCTGCACGCGGTCCCGGTAGCGGTCCAAGTCCAGGTCTCTCTCGCTGTGGCCTCTCACCATCCTTTCATTCACCTCACTGGCCTTGGCCAGATCCACTTCCAGTGTGCTGAAGACCGGCTGGTGCCCTTCGACCTGCCCACGCAGTCTCTGCAGGAGACATACCCAGGGTGGGAGGTCAGGGACGGGACCAGGCCTTCCCAGCCTTGGCCTCGTCCTGACCCGGCCACAGCCCTCCCTTATCAGGTCCTTCCAGCAGGCCCAATGGCCTCCCTCCCGGCCAAGTCAGCCCCTCTTCCCTGGCAGCTATGGGCCCAGCTGCTCACCTTGAGCTCCGCCTTGGTAGCCTCGACAGCCTTGAGGTCAGACGGCACGGCCCGAACATCTTTGAGCTGCTCTTCGTAGCTCCGGACCAACTCCTCGGCCCCTTGGGTGCTACGGATGACCAGGTTGATGGTCTTCAACCTGCAGGGAAGGCGGGTGGACTTAAGACATGGCAGCCGGACAAGGTTGCCCATCTGGAAGGGAGTTACGCTGGGGATTTTGAAGTTGCGAAACACAAAGGTTCTCTAAGTGACGCTTTGCCTCCAGGACATACAAGAATGAAGCCACATCATCCTTAAAAAAACACGGCTGACGTGGAGACTAGTGCCAGCTAGGTCGCTCTTGAGAGAGCAGTCTGTAACCTGGAGGGCTATTACTGCAAAGCCCCTTTGCCAGGAGATACATGAAGGGCCAAAGGGAATGAGCAAGGAGGCGCTAACACAAAGATCACACCCATCCCCAAAACATCCAGACCCTGGAGTGGAACCTCCCCTCAAAGTGGTTCCTTCTTCTCTGCCAAATACATCCATATTTTACAAATACAAAACTGGGCGAAGGTCAGCAGAAGAGCCAGCGAGGTAAATTTGAAGTTGCAAGGAACCCCCAGGAGAACGTAAAAGCAGAAGGTGGGGAGCTGGATCAGAGGGTCTCCAGAACGCACTGATTCCCCATCTAGAACCTCCAACCTGCTTCTGCTGGACTGACTCTTAGGAGTTTATAATAAGCACAAGGGTGGCAAGACTCAGTGCCCACCCTCCCCATGGCTGGGCAGGGTCAGAGTTGGTGCTAAGAGGCACCTACTTCTCCAGGAAGATGCTGGAGAGGCTGTACACCTGACCCATCTTCTGCAGCGTGATATCCAGTTCGGAGTGCAGTGTGGGGGCCGAACCAGCCTGCTCCGGCTGAGCCAAGACCTGCTCTGTCTGGGCGCTCACTTTGCCCAAGCTCTTCTGAAGGCTTTCCAGCTCCAAGTGGATCTCCTGAAGAGAGGGAGGGGGGTGAGGTCAGGGACCCAGCCCAACCAGCTGCGAGGACAGATGTCGACATACATACTCCTGGGGAAAGGGCAGGACCCTCCCTGTCCCACCTCAAAAGCCCTGGAATTTCTACAGCGCCTCTCCAAAGCTCCCAGGCAGTCGGGGGTCCTTCCCCCTCACTGGAACGTGTCCAGGACAGGGCAAGCCTCTCCTGGGCCCCAAGGAGACCCCAGCAGTGGGGATCAGGTTCTGCAGCTGCCCTGCTCTCAATACAACGGGAAGCCATGCCTGCTGGTCGCTGATGCGCTGTGCACATTCCTTAATAGGATCTTGGTCAAGTGGAGAACGAATTTTGTGTATGGTCCGGGACTCGCAGCCTTCGAGCTGCAGGCGGATGTCCTTCAGCTGAGAGATGAAGTTCCTGCACAGCGACTCCTCCTGTTCCCCTGCCACCCCACAAACGAAGCCTAGAATTAGTGGATGAGAAAGCAACCCTTTCTCCTGCCCCAGGTGGTGGTGGGGGGACCACAAAGAGAGAGGGGGCACCAGCCCCTCTCTTGGCCACAGATCAGTCAAGATGGGAGCAAGACAGCATGCCAAGGCCATCCATGGAGCACAGCAAGGGAGTGCGAGGGAGGGAGGGAGGAGGTGGCCATCTAAACGCAGAGAGGCCCAGGCTGAGGCTTGGGCAGCGGTCCCGGCTGGGGGGCACCCAAAGCACAGCCCTTCCACCGGACCAAAGGGTTCTCAGGGGCCATGGCCTGCAAAAGGCCCCCAGACCTTACCTTTCTCCAACCCGCGCAGCAGCAGCTCATACTTCTGGGTGCAGACGGTGTATTCGCGCTCCACATGCAGTCGGTCATCTGGGAGGAAGTTCTGAGAGTCCTGGCTGTCACGCAGGAATTCCTGGTAGTGGGTTTCCAGGCTGCGCAGCGTCTGCCGGTAATCCTCAGGGGGCATTGTCCGAAACTGCGGAAGACAGGCCTCGTCAGGGGGACCCTCCCCTCCTCATTGTCCCCAAGAGGACGCAAACCAAGTCAGCAGACATTCAGACCCCCTGAATGCCTCCCCAGTGCAACGCTGAAACCTCGGCTAACCAGCCCCCAGTGGCCTAAAAAGGGGTGGGGGTCTGCATTCCCTCCCGCTCTGCTTCAACCCTCTGCCTGCCCCAGGCAGAGCCAGGGACCACCAACGCGGCACTCTCTGCATTGCCTGGCATTGCCACGCAGGAGGCCCCGGCCCAGATGCACACAGGCAGAGTTATGCCCTCCTTGGGAGACTGGGGGCACCGCCTGGGAATTCCTCGGCCCACAACAAGCAGTGAAGCTCAGGCGGCTACAACAGCCACGGGACCGGCAAGGGTGCGGCTGCTGCCTTGTCTGACCTACCTGCGCCCCACATCCCAAGCTCTACCTGAGGCTGCTTTGGAGACAGGTTAGACGCCCGCCTGGGGCAGCGCACAGGCCCCAAACGTTGATGGGAAGAGGCTGCTGGAGCCCCTCCACTAGCCGTGCTGGCCCCCAGCATGTTTCCAATCCAGTCCAAAGACCGAGCTGGTCTTTGGACTAGACTCTCAAAGGCTCCCCTCCCCTGCAACCTGCCCACACTTCAGGACTGGGAACGAAGACTGCTCGCTCTTCCTCTCTCCTGAGAACAGCGCGCCCCACCCAAACCCCTGAACCTGCAGGTGGCATTGCCAGTGGGGGCTCAATCTCTTGTGGGCTTGGCTGGCACTGGGGCCATCGCCTCTCGGAGGGGGTGTCACTCCCGCAGTCTGCCCATTTCAGGTACGTTGAAGTACCACAAACCCCCAGGGCACCCCCAGGCTTCTGCTCTCTTCCCTGGCAACCACAAGAAACCCGGGATGGGGCAGGAGGCCTCATTACCCAGCCATCAGTTTCCCCCTTGGGCTACTCCTATCCGGCCTCCCTGCTTTCGGACCCAAGGAACCCCAAGTCCCGGGGCTCAGCCGTGGGGAGAATGAGCCCTGCGGACCTCTCGGGTGGTTCTGCTGCTGGACTGCCCTTGTCGGGAAAGCCAGCACTGGGTGGGGGGGGGGGGGGAGAATCTGGATCTCACAATGAGGAGGGACCAGGACTGGATCTGCTGGATCTCCCGCTGCAGATACTGCCAAGAGAGGAGGCTCTTCATGTTGATGTGCAGCTGGTGCCAAGCACTGAGCAGCTTCTGGTGCACCGTCTCCAACCTAAAGGGACGTCAGGGGGGTCAGGGCAGAGGCTGCCCCTCACCAGACCAGGGCAGGGTGGCCCCAGAGGGGACCCGAGCAGCCGAGGCGCCAAAGCCAGGCTTGGAGCCTCCACTTGGTCCCCAAGTTGGGGAGGCTCAGGGTGTGCGCAGTGCCTGGCTGGAGGAGGGAAGGGAAGGGAAGGGGCCTCACTCCCGCACATGGGGGCACGTACCTCCCGGCAGCCTCCAGGGCCTCCTTGTTGGGCGGGGGGACCAAGAAACAGATGGACGGGACGAGGGACTCCCTCCCGGCTGCATTCAAGACCTTCCACTTGTAGGGCTGGGCGTTGCTGAGGAGGGTGCAGTGATCCCCCTTGTGCACCGTGATCTGGAGGCGAGGAAGGGGGAAGCTCAGCTGCTGCAGCCCAGAGGCAGCCCCCCAGGCCTCCGTGCGTGGCCTCCCTTCTCACTCACCTCCACCTGCTTGTAGTCGCAGACAGCCTGGAGGGGCAGCCGGCCCCTGAGTGGGGGGCTCGGGCTGCGGGGCTTCAGCTGGACAACGGTCTTGGCCCGCTTGGCCAGCCCAGCCAGATGGCTCTGGTACTGCGCGAGATGCTCCCTCTCGTCCTAAAGCGGGGGGTGGGGGGCAGAAAGCAGCCGAGGTAAGTGAGGAGAGGGAGGGAAAGAAGAAGGCTGCTGGGTCGGGGGGCCCGTCCCACCCTCACCAGGGAATCCTGCAGCAGGTCCTCCAAGCGCGTCACCGTGATGGACCGGTCGCAGGAAAACTTCTTCTTCAGGGTCTCCTGAGTCTTGCGCAGAAACTCCTCCGCTTCCTTCACATCAGCAAAGAACTGGGGGGGGAAGGAGATCGTGGGGGTGCTGACCGCCGCATGATGCGGGAGCCTCCGCAGGGCCACTGGGAGCCAGAGGGACAAAGGCCCCTTTGTCCGCGGGAAGCCCCGTCACCACCCTGCCCTCCTGCTCGGCGTCCGAGCCCCCGCGGCCTCCTTGCAGGGCTACCTGGAAGTAGCTGGTGTTCTCCTTCAGATGGGCCTCGATGCAGCAACACAGCTGCAGCAGCCAGCTCCACTGGGTCTGGAGGGCAGCCTGGAATGCCTGCGGGGGGAGAGCAGAGGGGGTGGGCCAGGAGGCCAGCGGGGGACCCCCAGGAAGCCACTTCCTCACTCGCCCGGAGAGGGGCCAGGAAGCAGTCCTCTGACAAGGGCTCGTGATGCAGGCGTGACTGCTGGTGCTGCAGCTGGGGCACCCCCCGCCCCACCCACCTCCACCGTCTGCCTGGCCGGGTGCTCCTCCCGCAGCAGCCTGTCGCCCGTGCTCTGGATCTCCTTGATCCTCCGCTCCCGCTGCTCCAGGTCTCTCATCAGGCCCTAGAGTGGGGCAGAGCACAGATCCGGGGGTCAGCGAGGGGCCCAGCAGCTGGGCCGCTTCCTCGGGGCCAGAGGGAGAGTGGCTTTACCGAGTAGCTCTCTTTCTTGGCGGCCATGTTGCTGTTGCGCTCGCTCCAGTCGTAGTTCACCTCCTCCTCCTCCTTCTCGTTCAGCCACATCAGCTCCTTGGTGGCAGCAGCCACGAAGGCCTGGAGGCTTTCCAGATGCCGCAGCCGGGCCCCGGACGAGCTCTGCAAGACACAGCCCACGTCGGGTCAGCCCTCACCCTGGCGTGGCCGCGGCCTTCCGCCGGGCAGCACAGGAGGGCCCCATCCTCCAGGCTGAGGAGCAGAGGGCCAGCGCAGGGCTCCCAATGCCGCCACGCATCCCGAAGGAGAGGCAGCGAGGTCTCCACCCTGCGCCCTCTCAGCTGTCCCCACGTCGTCTCCGGCCCATCTTCTCACCAGCAGCTTCTCATACTGCAGGTCCAGCTTGCTGAGGTAGTCACGGTACGTGGTCTGTGGACCAGGAGAAAGCTGGGCCTGAGGTGGGCAAAGGAGAGCCATGAAACTGGAGCCGGGGGGCACGTGCACCGTGGCCACCAGTGTGCGGACACAGGACCCCCAGGCCTGGCACCGCCCAGCCCTGTCTACCTCATCTGCCCGGGCTCGTTCGATCTTTGGGCGGAACTCCTCGATGGAGCGGTGCAGTCCGCGGTGGCTGCCGAGCTGAGACTCCACCGTGGGCAGGTCCACGCCCCACTCGGCCGCACTGATGCGGCTCTGGTTCTCCTCCACCCAGACCAGCAGGTCTTGCAGGTAGCGTAGGGTGACGTCGTCCAACTCCTGCCGCGGGCGCTGCGTGACCGGCACGGCTACCTGGGTGAGGGGGGCTGACCCAGACTTCAGGCGCAAGTTGTACTCGGTGCGGATGGCCACGAGGCGCTCGTGCAAGCGGTAAACCCTGCAGGGGAGAGGAAACACGGCGCTGCAGGGGCTGCCCGGACTCGGCCCCTGTGCAGGGTGGACGGTCACCAGAGCTTACGCTGGGGGTGGGGGGCCAGGCCCCAGGAGGGTGGCAGCAGCTGCTGCTGCTGCTGCACAGCAGTTGCAAAGCCGGGGGGGGGGGGAGCTGCCACCAGGGGGCAGCACGCACAACACTCCCTGGCCATCCCAGGCTTTCTGAGGGTGGGTGGACCCCACTGCCGGGCGGGCCGCTCTCCTGGGCAAAGACTGGCCCAAGCCCGAGCCGGCAGGAGGGGAGGAAGTAGGGGCCACGCAGGAGCATCGCTGACCTGCGATACATCTGCTCGCCCTGCGGGTGGCGCCCATCCTTGAGGGCTTGCACATCGTTGAAGAGCAAGCGGATCATGGCCTCGGCCTTGTCCAGGTCCCGCTCGATCTCGGCTAAGTGCTGCGCCGCCTTGCCCGCGTTCAGCAGCCGGATGTCCTGCGAGAGAAAGGGAACCGGAGGCTCTGAGCCCGGTAGAGTGGCCAACCTCGCCCGTGTTCCGGGCACCCTGGTTCTGGACCAGGGGCGGGCGCCGAGCAGGCCCGGGCAGAGCAGGGCAGAGGCAGCCTCTCACCGACTGCAGCAGGGTGTCAGCTTGGTTGAGCTGCTCCTCGCAGAGGCCGGACTCCATCTGGAGTTTGCTGACGATGCGCTGCAGCCGTTCCAACCTGTGGGGAGGCCGGGCGGGGGGAGAGATGAATGAGTCCGGGGTCCGTGCAAACTCCCTGCTGGCGTCCTCCACCCGGCTGAGCTCAGGAAACAG